CGGTCTAATTAAACCCCATCACGTCTGAACTCACAGCTGCGTGATGGAGTGGAAACCAACGCCGGACACGTCAGAACTCGGAACGCAGGACTCCGTCTCAGAGGCAGCGGCCGAGCTGCAGATATGAAAGTGTGAAAATTAAATACTGACACAGAGAGGGAGGAAGTGAGGGAGGGAGGGGGAGAGAGGTGAGGGTGGAGTGGGGGGGGGGTTGAAGGTGCTCACCCCTGAGTGAATATCATTGCAGATGTGTGAGTAAACATCAGGGATCAAAGATTGTGCCGTGCACGGAACGAGGAATCCCACCGCAGCTGTGGGTGTGTGTGTGTGACACACGCTCCAGATTATAATCTCACACACATACGTGTGTGTGTGTGTGTCTGCATATGAAGGCATGCTGTGTGTGTGTAGTTCTGAAGCACAGCCAACTGTCGGCTCTGTGTAGCAGAGAATTCCTCCTCCTTCATACTCCTCATCCTCAGCTTCTCCTTCCATCATCTCCCCTCCCTCCCCCTCTTTGTCTCCCTGTTTCTGATGGTTGTAATTGTTGTCTGGCTGTTTCTTCTGCCTTTTCTTTGAAATTTTAATCACCAGTAAACAAACCTGTAATGTGATTGAGCTGCAGGCTGAGGAGGGAGAGAGAGGGAGAGAGGAGAGGGAGGGGGGATGGTCGATGGGGGGGGGTTCTCTCCTGTGAGTGAGTGAGTGTGTGTTTGATAGAGGGATGGAGATCATACTCTAACACTTCGTACTAAAGAGAATGACTAATCCCAGCCTTTGATTCTGCATTCAGTCAACAGGATGTTGACGCATCAGCACCAGCATGTGTGTGTGTGTGACTTTGTGTGTGTAAAAATGTACATGGCTCAAGAAGCTGCACACACACACACACACAGTCTCTCATCTAAGGGAGTACAGAATGACAAATACCTTCAGACTCAACACCTGCTCTAACAGTTTTTATTTTCTATTTTTATGAAGCGTCGACTTTGGAACGCATTTCTACCAACCGGCCACCGGCAGGTGTTCACGCGGCGCTGCGCCGCCCACAAATAAAAGTCAATACGGAAATTGATAAGTGATATTGATTACAAACCCTGAATTGGTTTAAAATCTGATCAACTCTCATCTGGTGTGATTTTACGACATTAACTGTTCACACAACGACAAGAGAAACGTCTGTCAAAAAAAGTCTGTTTCATTTAGCAAGAACAAACACACACACACACACCTAGTGGCATCCATATTTCTCAGAGAAAGTCCCTCAGCCGTACTTGTCATCCACACATCAGAAAATCCAACATCCCTCCTCCCACACACACACATATACACACATACACACACACACACACACACACACACACAGTCCAGCAGGCAGTGAGTTGGTAATGAGGCACATTTCACTGAGAGTTTTCTCCCCTGACACCAGCTTGTCTTGTTCTGTTATCGATCCTCTCTCTCTCCCCCTCTCTCTCTCTCTCTCTCTCCTTCACTTCCTTTGTCCTACCCTTCCTCCCCCCCTTCCATCATCCCTTTGCCCTAACCCTCTGACAGGAGTGTTCAGAATAATTGGAGGAACCTTCACAATGAGGGAGGCAGTGGACAGTTAGGCCAACACTGTAGTCTCTCTCTCTCTCTCTCTCCCACCCCCTGTCTCTGAGTGATGCTGGTGACAGTCTGATTTCTTCTGGTTCTGATCCAAACACCCACTGACGTCCATCCATCCAGTTGGACAGTAGAACCCTCTCCTCTGTTCCCTTGTTCTCTACCATAACTACTACACCTGGTCAGGTTGTAAATAAAGAACAAGCAGCTACTACCGTCTCTGCCCTGCAGGGTTTTCATTAATAAGACGACAACACAACTGAGTCAGGGCAGAGCGACCTCTGACCCTTCGGGCTGCTCACCCCCAACTACACCATGGCCCAAAATGACTGATGTGATTGATTGATGATTCTGTGATGCGTTCATTCAGAATTATTACATTGTTAGAAGTAAATTTTCCAAATCCATACAGAGGAGGTCAAAGACTAAGGACACACACACACACACTCTCTCTCTCTCTCTCCTACACCTCGTCCACACACTCTGGAGACTCCCACATCACTTAACCAGTTGTCGTCCACTAAAAGGCCTGTGGCCTTCACATTTAAACCTCTTACAACTTTTCAAACCACACACACACACACACACACACACACACACACACACACTGATCACCCTCTCAGTGCCTGTTGTTGATGACCATCGTTCTCCACTCCCTGTTCTTATTGATCAGCGTGAACCACGTTCATCAGAGGGACGTTGATGGATCTTAAACACTCAGCAGTTTCTGTCCAAACCGTTCACTCTCTCTCACACACACACACACACACGCACACACACCCTGGTGGCTGCTGTCAGTCAGGGATGTGAGAGTGGAACACTGACGTGCTGTGTTGATGACGTGTGTTTGTGTTTCAGTTTGCTCTTCACTAAGGTGAAGCTGGAGGAGGTTCTGTTTGGACCAAACACAGCCCTGCAGACCTGCGAGGTGATGCTGCAGCGCTGGCAGAGTCGCTACGACCACACCCGCTCCAGGTGAGTACAAACCTGGACGTTTCATCCTCCTCAAGACGCCTGACAATAACAGGCAGCATAATCTGATATGATATAATCTGCGGGTGTGTGTGTGTGCTGCAGTGAGACGGACGACAGCAGCAGCATACCGTTGGCTGAAAGAACAGAGGTGTCAGAGGTCAGCCCTGGGGGCAGGAAACCCTCCATTCACCTGCTGCTGCCCGACTTCCAGGACACCTCCACGGGTCGGTTCTGACACCACAGTCCGACTGGAACTCTGCCACATTTGAACTGATTATTAAACCTGAAATTAAGCTCTGTTCACGTTGCTGAGGAGAACCACGGTTTGAGAACCACAACTGTTTAAATAATGATCTGAACAGTTGAACCTCTCATTCATTACATACAGTATAAAACATCATACAGATCTATATTTGTATTAATCATTCTTTGGGTCCAAACCTGGTCGTTCTGGTTCTAGCCTGTTTGTGTTCCCTCACAGGTTCCCTGAGCCCCTCCTCAGTTGCACTGTCTCGCCTGGAGGCGGCGCTGTCTGAGGTGTCAGACATTAGCTCCTCTCGTCGCCAAGGACCCACCTACATCTGGACCACCTTGGAACACATCTGGCTCCAGGCTGGTACGAAAGTTTACCTTTAGTCGTCAGTACTAATATTTGTTATCGTATATTTTTACTAGTACAGAGTACAGGGGAAAACTGCAAGTTAAAACTGCAGTACAGTTGGAGGTTCATGAAAAGTTTTTTTTTTTTTACAATTTTTTTTCTGTATGAAGTATTACTGCTTCAACAATAAAACAAAGTAGTGTTTTTTTTTAAGAAGTTTTAACCTGAACCTGCCAGCAGAGGCAGCAGTGAGAACTTACTCAACCCACCACAGCCAGGGCAGTTTACTAACGTGACATTCTCCAGTGACAAACCCGTTCTCTGCCCACTAGACATACAGGCTCAAAAACCCCAAACAGAGGAAGGTTTCATTCCCCCAACCTCTGGGTTGTGGGCCCAGCATGTGTACGCCCCAGGGTGTGGGTGCACCAACATGCACCAGTGGTGACTCAGTTCACTGACTACA